CTCACCTAAAACAGCTGTTAATCTAGTTACAGTGGGGAGTTTAAGGTTGCTATAAAGGTCTCCCCCCCCTCATTTCCTGTCGGCTGTTGTATGAAGGAATGAATCGACCATAAAAGTAGTTGTGCGACTTGAACATTACACTATACTAAACACACCAGAGAAAAAATAAAGGAAGCAGTCAACGCTGAGAACACTGTGCTTACCTACTGCCAAGAACGATGGTGGTAGTATCGTGTTCTAAGGCTGTTTTGCTGTGGTGCATTTCAGAAAGTGGAAAGAGTGATGAAGAAGGAAGACAACCTCAGAGTTCTTTAGGAAAACAAGAAACCATCAGCTGAATACTTAAATATCGGATGCCTTTAGGTGTTCCAACAGGACGATAATACACAATTAAAACACACATTAAAAGGGGCTTTAGAATGGCTAAATAAATTCAAATTTCGCTTTTGGAATAGTCTTTCCAAGTCCAAATCTTAATCACATTAAAGATATGTGGATTGCCAACCCGTTCTCACTTTCCAAAACCGTCAACTACCACCGTTTGGTCCGTGGCCCTCGGCATCTTGATATCGATGAACCGAGGCACCCTATCAGACGCACTAGGCTTTTAACTAACTCCAATGTAAACCCATCCAGGTCATTATAACGACAGTCAGAGCAACTGATATAGTACAATGAGTGAGAAGTCCGCGTAGGTTAGATTGGTCAAACAAACTTTCACCCAGTTGACCGCAGTTCGTGTCCCAAGTGAAACCAAGTCAATGTTAGTTTTGTTACGTAACTTACATAATTACATAACAGCAGTTGTGTAACAAGCAGACTTATTTTACCCAAACCACAATCTTTTCTAAAGCCTAACTCAGTATTTTTGTTGCAAAAACCTCACAAAGTATTATGTTGCTGAAGTAAACATGAAAACCAAGTGAACCTACGTTGGAGGTTTAGTTTAAAAAGATACTATGCATGTAACGAGCAGAAACTGACACACCACCCGCGCCACGTCTAAAACTGACTCCTCGACCTCATAGTTTCAGTCAATCAATCAAGTTCAATATATATAGCACCTTTCACACAAATCCAATGCATTGCTTTCCAAATGATTGACAATACGCAAACAAGACGAAAATGGAGAGACGGTAAGTAAAATTAGAGCGACATAAAATAAGAAATAAAATATGTATAAATACTAGGGCTGGGCAAGTTAACACGTTATTATCGCGTTAACGCATTAAATAATTAACGCCGACAATTATTTTATTGTGCGTTAACGCAGTTTTTTAAATTATTATTAACCGGACATTTTTAACACAAGAACTGGGCAGTGAGCGGTGAACAGCTGTTTGTGTGGCGTCTCTTCCGTCTCTTGCTGTTTCCTTCACCTACATTCCCCTGGGTCCTAAGTCCCTCCCTGTACAGCTTCTTATCACCCGTGATGTACCAATGTACATTTATAACAAATACCACACATATTACACGCTAATCAGCGTTGCATATGTGTCTGACCAAAATACCAAAAAAAGCAAAAAATAAATGATTAATTTAAATAATTTTTTGAGAGTTTTTAAAGTATTTTTGTTTGGAATATGTATAATAAGCAAATCATTTAGTTATCGCTACTGAGAATTTAACAAACATAAAAACATGACGTAAATAGGTTTACAGTTTTCAAGGTGTATATTTCAAATTACATCTATTACACACATGAAAATAAAGTTGTGAACACCGGCTATCTATTATCAGAATCATTATCAATACACTACTTTTGAATTCATTATTGACTTTTGTGCATAACAATACGATTAATCGCAGAAAAATCATGCGATCATTGCCCAGCACTAATAAATACTAAAACCATCACATGAAAACACATAAGACACTAAAAAATCAGATGCAATAATAAGCAAAAATAATTAAAAAAACTTAAAATTATTAACACCATTACCAATTATTATTAAGCAAGACTGAATAGATCAGTTTTTAGTTTCCGTTTAAAAATATTTATAAGCATTGGTATTTGACAGTATGGGAGAGAGAATGTGTTGGGACTGCCCTGAAAACCATCCTACTAGGAAACCATGTCGCTACAAGTGTATGGAAACTTTTGACTTAATTGTAAATTGTTAATGTAATCCCTGGGCAGGCCCAGCCTACTTTCTTTCCATACCCTTCCTTCTGCACCCATGGGTTCAGTGTGAAAACTTAGGCCTCTCTCTCTTTTTTAGGTTTCTCTTCACTGCATCAAATAATGAAGACATGCTGCAATAAAGCCAACACGCCATAACATCATTACGGCACCAAATATCCATCAGCTCTGCCGGGTTTAAAAATCATATTTGTGTCTCAGTTATGGTTTTCCATTATTGTGATTGTGACAGGTTTATGTTCTGGAGAGGGGACCCAGATGTTTTATAGCTAACAGCCACACTGGACCATGGCTGGAGCTAATCTGTGCAGTGATGGGGACGGGGTCATTGCTGGTCACACGGTCTTGTGGGAAAGAGGCCATGAAATCACATTTTCACCGAAGTGAAAGTTCGGGCTATTAATGCCCGGAAACTGTTGTGCTGTGCAATTCCTTTCTAAAGTGACTCAAACATTCTTCAAATATTAAATGCGACTGTAGCTCTGAAGTGTTGTAATCTTTCCTATTATGTGGTTATGGTCTTTGCTTGTACTACAAAGATTTGTCAGAAACTGCACAGGGAGGAGGTTTGGGCCATCACTAAGTGCTGCAGGCACAGTGCATAAAAGAAAACTCATGTTCCCCCAACTTCCCTTAAAACAGAGACATTAAGTACATACAATCAAGTGCACAGTAAAAGGCTTTAATCAACCTTTTAACCTTTGCATAATCCTCTTAGTGCATTAAAACACAACCAGTGTCGAGACTGTTCAAACATTAGCATTATGATGGACCACATCTGGGCCAATGTAGGGTAGGAGTACTAAATCTACGAATAAAAAAACGTGGATGTTTTCTGAGATTAAAGTGGCGAATTTAGACCCGTTGGCCACTCTCCCCCCAGCTCCAGCTCTCACCGCTGGCTGTCATTCTTGCCTGTTCCCAGAGGGCTCATCATTTTCTCCCTCTTCAGTGTCAAAAGTATCACCGGGATCCATTTTTCTAATTTGATCTGGCTTGGTTGCTCTCCCTGTTGTCACCTCATGTACATAAGAACTATATCTTCTGGAGTCTGCATGTCACTGTATATACATAGATATATATTTCCAAAAACCCAGTTCACTTTGGATGCAGACCTAAAACCTGCTTTTCAGAGAGAGGTGAAACAAATCATTCACCGCGCACCAGATGAACTCAGATCATCCGGCAGGTTCAGGACATCGCTAATCCCAGCTATGCTCGGACTGGAATCAGGAGAGCAGCTATTTGTTCGCCGTTAAACACCTTCGATTGGCCGATAGAGCGGGAAACACGAGACCGGCCATATTTATGCAAAGCTGGTGTGACAAAAAGAGAGCGTATTTCACTGCAGAGTAGCTGTGCACAGGATCAGGAAGTAGGTGTGTGCACATACGACTGACAGCGGACGTGCTTCAGTCGTCTGCGTTGTGGCCTCTGAGGTCAGCGAGTTGGGGCGACGCAGACGAGAGAACATTAGTCACCCTGCCCCGCGGCCTTCGGACGGACGACGCGCTGATCCCTACAGCCGGGACACGGAGACCTTTCATGGCATGACTCATAAACGCCATTAGAATTAGTCAAATTTCGGTGAGTTCAGATGAAAGGCTGCAGAGTAGATGGATGTGTAAAGTAAAAGGGACTATATGCTCTCTGGCTGCAGATACACCGCATGCAACAACAGCACAATGTTGTTCCTCAGGTCATTATTATGCACGTCGCAGTGAACATCATAAATGTGTAGTTTTTATGTAGAGGGACATACAGAGCAACAGAGCTATATTCAATCCATTCCATTATCCGTAATCTGTCCGGGAGGGGGGGGGGGGACCTTGACAGGTCGCCAGACTATAACAGTGCTGACACAGAGAACCACTCATGCTCACATTCACACCAACAGGCAATTTAGAGTCATCTATTAACCTAAGCTGCATGTCTTTGGACCATTGGAGGAAGCTGAAGTAAACCCACACTCACACAGGGAGAACGTGCAAACTATACAGAGCAGAGCCGTGCGGCCCGGGAATGGAACCCGATCCCTTTTGCTGAGAGGTGACAGTGCTAACCACCTTGCAGCCCAGCTCAATTCCAATCCAGATATGATAAAATGCAATATTTTACACAAGATTATTGTTTTTTTATGTGTGTAGTCTAAAACTAATGTCTTGTGTAAAACATATATTTACTTAATCATGTTTTGCAAACTACTCGTGATTATTTACACTATTGATTCATCTGCAGATAACTGAACAAATAGGTTAGAAAAAAATGTCAGAAAATATCTATGGAATTTTCCATTACCCAGAGTTCAAAGTACCTTATCCAAAAGTATTGTTTTGTCACATATTAAAGCAGACTATTGGTTTGATTTTCCTGATAATATAACACAGGGGCATATTAATCACAAAAAGAGGCGATGAATAGCTTATGAAAAGGGTTTCTTTGAGCCAAATGACTTGTGTGTGAAACCAGCTTCAACGTCAGGATGATGTCTTGTACTTTCAGGTAAGATGAATGAATTATATTTATCGTGTACTTGAAAGAACCCACGGAAAGAGAAGCCAGAAACATAGTGAAAACTGTGGCACCAGAACTCTGTGTACAGATGGAGGAGTTTTATGTGGGAATACTATCACAATGTATATTTTATAAAGTAGAAGCTATTAGTAATAGTGTAATTTGTCTAAAATCGTATTAAAGTGTGGACTCTAGTTTGGAGGCAGCAGTGCTCCTCTTTGAACTCTGCCCTCCAGAGCGGCTCCAGAGCGCGTTTGACCCAGCGCCCCACCCCCCACCACCACACACACACACACACACACACACACACCGAGAGGTGCCGCGATCACCAACCCACACTCACCTGACTTTTGCGGCCACGGAAGATATCGCATCGCTCCTCAGGTTCTTCCTTTTGGACACCGCAGTACCCATGCTGAAGTGGAAACGACCCCGGAGAGAAAAACGCGGACCATTCCACAGACTGATCGGCGAGAAAAAAAAGAAAAAAAAAGAAAAACTAGAGGTAATAAAAAACACCACCCCTTGGGGGATACAAATCCTCTGTATGTAACGAGAGTGGCGACTCTGCTTATTTCATATTGACCACCGTTGTTTCTGCGGAGAAAGGAGCTGGAGGATGGAGCGCGGAGCGTGATGTGCTGGGCTCTGCTCTCCGCTGCTCATCACAACTGAGGCTTCCAGGGAGGAAACAAGGACCATAAAAGGGAAGGCAAGCCCGCCCGCCTCTTGCGCGGCGCCCGGGCTCATTATAGGAGTGTAGGCTATACGCTGGACGCGAGGAGGTGTGGACACTTGAGTCCACAAGTAATCTTGCAGTTTGTCATCAGCTGCGTCATTCACGTGGGCGCTGATTAAAAAAATAAATAAAGGTTGTATTTTACTTCGATTTTCATGATATTAAAGTCCATTCTGCATGGTGGACATGTTTTTTTCTACATACATATATTTACAAAAATTGGTTCAGTTTAATAGAGTAAATGGAGATCACGGAAGTCATTAGGATTCATCCTCTGGGGACCACAAATGTCTCTTTGTAATGTTTAAGATCAATCAATCAAATAGTTGTTGAGAAATGTATGTCAATGGTAGTGAACCAACTGACCGTCATTGCCATCCACACAGCCAGGCCTCTGGCGCAGCAGCTCCTATATGAAATTGTACCCGTGGGGTGTACAGGTGATTTATTTCACCGTGACTTGGTTTCTCCCAAAATCACAAATTTGCCTCAGAGCGCTTTACAATCTGTAGGCTACAGCATACAACATCCTCTGTCCCAGTCCTCGCATACAGGAAAAAATCCCTCACCCAGCATTCGTAGCTATACCTGCGAAAAATAATGCAACGTAATTCGTAGATATCCAACGAAATCTTCTTGTATGTTATCCATGTAATAAACAATGAAAAGCCCACGCAGGGCATGTGGGAGAGGAGGGCGATGGGTCCAACAACTAGCGACCTTACAGCCACCCATGTGAAACGTGTAGTCAGTGTTATTGATTCGTCACGTAACTTGTGTACTTCAGTAACAGCACAGAGGTTCTTTTCCTGTGAAGACAGAAGTTTATTTTGAAAAGGCCGTATGCATAACAAGCTGAAATTGACACGTGTTGCTGGCTTTTGTATAGGAAAACGCACAAAAAATGACTTTTCTTAAGATATCATACAAAGATTGTGACACCGTGTCACGATTCCCCGTCAACCCATGTCCGTGTGACACGATGTTCAATTTTGGGTGAAACGCTTCGCTTCCACAATTTTTACCCAGCCGTCCAATCACAGTGGAGGAGGGGCGGGACAAATATCCTTGCTGTTTTGTATGCTATTGGTTTTATTGTTTTTACTTGGATGTGTATGGTGTCCTCATGTCCGGAGCACTCGACCAAATGCACTGTGTGGGATAATAAAGTTGATCTGAACAAAACGATGGTACCCGCCGAAATGTTTCATCGCCCACAACATCTCATCAGCCACATCCAGCAGGTCCATCCTCTTGTGCTTCATCCAGAGCAGTAGTACTCAACCATGTGCCAACATTTGAACCCTTTGCAAATATTCCGTATCATAGCAACCAGACACAACCAAAGCTCAGCTGTGCCTCCAAAGCGCTCCCAGCTGGGCTTTTTCAGAAAGAGCCTGCTGTTTTCTGCTGGGGAAAAAACACTTTGTAGACAAAACCCCTTCAGATAGGGATGTTGTTTGTTTTGTTTTTCCGGGCAGATGTGCAAACGATTTTCACTTGCAGTGAAATGGAAAAATCTTTGAGTCAAAACTTACAATAACACAAACTCCAAAAATAGTTAAATGGCGATAAACAAAGGGAACTTTCATTGCATTTGTACACCTTGTTGATGGGCTATTACTCCTGACCTGTAAATCCTGTGCACGGGACTTTGAGCAAGACTACAGAGTGGTGACTGACTACAGACAGAGAGAGGCAGCAGCAGTAGATCTATTTAGTTATTTATTTGAACCAGCAATTGTTACATTTATTTTGAATTAGATGCATCTACAGATAGAACATACAATCTAAAGATCCTTGGCCTCTTGAAGCAGCACTGAGAGAATCTGTCAATTAACAGTTGTATTGACTGAGATGTCTATGAAATGGCAATAGAGACATTATTCTCATTTCATCAGACAAACACCAGACATCTCTGGTTTAGTATGCCAGTAACTAAACCTACCCCATATTATGTTATCCACTAGCACCTTCTCATAACAGATGACATCAGCACCTCAGACTTTGCCACTACTGACGATTTAGTGGTGTTCATTTGAATAAAGGAATAACAGACTTCCCAATATGCATTGATGAACAAATGCAAAGAACAGTAAACAAAGAGAGGATAATTTGACTTTCATTTCCAATCCCATCAAAGTGTGCATTGACCTGAGAATCATGCAGAATATTTTTTTACTCTCAGAGGGAAACAAAATGAATTCCAAATCAATATTCAATCAAAGGGGGGGGGGG